CGGAGGAGTACTTAACTACGCTCCCTCTGGAAACCCCATACTCTGAGTTTGAACATAAGTTTCAGGAAATTGGATTGGAGAGGGGTTGGGGTGACACCGCTGAGCGTGTGTTGGAGATGATCTGCATGCTTTTGGACCTCCTCGAGGCTCCTGACTCGTGCACCCTCGAGAAGTTCTTGGGTAGAATCCCGATGGTTTTCAATGTTGTTATTCTTTCACCCCACGGTTATTTTGCCCAGGAAAACGTTTTGGGATATCCCGACACTGGTGGCCAGGTGATTCTTGGTTTTGAATTTCTCCAACTCGGGTTTTCCACAATTGCTTAACTCTTCTTCCTTGTCCTTTTCGATTCTCAGGTTGTTTACATTTTGGATCAAGTCCCTGCATTGGAGCGTGAGATGCTTAAACGCATCAAGGAGCAAGGACTTGACATTACGCCACGAATCCTCATTGTTAGTACTATAAACTAAAGATCAATCTTAACTGAGAGTTCAGTAGTCGTTTTCGTTTCATAATTTGGCACCCGATCTTGTGTTCCTGTTGGCAGATAACTCGGCTGCTGCCAGATGCAGTTGGAACCACTTGTGGCCAACGCCTCGAGAAAGTATTTGGAGCAGAGCACTCACACATTCTGAGAGTTCCCTTTAGGACCGAGAAGGGCATTGTTCGCAAATGGATCTCTCGTTTTGAAGTCTGGCCATACATGGAAACTTTCATCGAGGTAAAACTAGTATTTTTTTGCATTCTTGGCTCACTTCTTTTCCTCTTTTTGGCTAATTTATCTGCTTTTTAACATGTTAGGATGTTGCAAAAGACATTACTGCTGAGCTACAGGCGAAACCAGATCTGATTATTGGCAATTACAGTGAGGGTAACCTTGCTGCCTCGTTACTGGCACATAAGCTCGGTGTAACACAGGTCTGAAAAATGTTGTTACTCTTGAATATTATGATCTCGAGTTTTATAGTTTAGTACGAGAAAGGATTAAGGTTGTTCTGTATGTGTGTTTTGTTATCTGCTGCAGTGTACCATTGCTCATGCACTGGAGAAGACGAAATATCCTGATTCAGACCTTAACTGGAAAAAGGTCGATGACAAATATCACTTCTCGTCCCAGTTCACAGCCGATCTTATTGCCATGAATCATACTGATTTCATCATCACCAGCACCTTCCAAGAGATCGCGGGAAAGTAAGATATCAGTTCTTTCTAGTTGAGTGTATGAGTTTATGGTCACATATAGGAGAGAATTGAACTAATTTGATCTTATTGCTTTTGGTTTTCCAGCAAGGACACTGTTGGGCAGTATGAAAGCCATATGGCCTTCACAATGCCTGGGCTATACCGAGTTGTTCATGGCATAGATGTGTTCGACCCCAAATTCAACATTGTCTCCCCGGGAGCTGATATGAACTTATACTTCCCGTACTCGGAGAAGGAAAAGAGACTCACTACGTTTCATCCCGAGATTGAAGACCTGCTATATAGCAACGTTGAGAACGAGGAGCACCTGTAAGTTTTAAATTATACCAAACAGTTATCAGCTAACAGCTATTTACCAAACGGGGCTTTTATAATCTATCGTTGTTATGCTGGCAGATGTGTGCTTAAGGATAGGAATAAGCCTATCCTATTCACCATGGCAAGGCTGGACCGAGTGAAGAACTTGACTGGGCTCGTTGAATGGTATGCCAAGAACCCGAAGCTGAGGGAACTGGTGAATCTTGTTGTGGTTGGGGGGGACCGGAGGAAGGAATCGAAGGATTTGGAAGAGCAAGCGGAGATGAAGAAGATGTATGAGCTGATAAAGACATACAACTTGAATGGTCAGTTCAGATGGATCTCGTCCCAGATGAACCGTGTGAGGAATGGTGAGCTCTACAGGTACATCTGTGACACCAGAGGAGCTTTCGTGCAGCCCGCTTTCTATGAGGCGTTTGGACTGACCGTGGTCGAGGCCATGACCTGTGGTTTGCCTACATTTGCAACCAACCATGGCGGACCGGCTGAGATCATCATCCATGGAAAATCCGGCTTCCATATTGACCCGTACCATGGCGAGCAGGCGGCTGAGCTCCTAGTTGATTTCTTCGAGAGGTGCAAGAAGGAGCCTTCTCATTGGGAAACCATTTCTGCTGGTGGCTTGAAACGTATCCAGGAGAAGTAAGCCTCACCATAAATGTGCAGTCCAACTATCAGCTTAGACTTTTAGTTAAAACAGATTCTTATGAATTTGTTTCCCTTGTATAGGTACACATGGCAGATCTACTCTGAAAGGTTGTTGACACTATCTGCTGTGTATGGCTTCTGGAAATATGTTTCCAAGCTCGATCGCCTTGAGATTCGTCGCTACCTTGAGATGTTCTACGCTCTCAAGTACCGCAAGATGGTGAGTTTCTCCTCCTTATCTTTAGATTCGTCGCGCTCTAACGAGTCTTTTTTCTGAATGTGGAATTCTGGGTTTTGTTTTCCAGGCTGAAACTGTCCCACTGGCTAAGGAGTAAGATGAAGGGAGGGTTCAGACACTGAGGGTGATGGAGTGAAGTTTAATTCCTTGCTTTGTTTGAATAAGAACTTTAGCTTGCGAGATTATATTATGGCAATTGTAAACCGGATTTTCATCTCTTTTTAGTCTTGCTTGTAACCCTCTAGTGTTCATTTCCATTCTTGTTTTGAAAAAAGTTTAATCAAATGCAAGTAATTCTTGCTTGGTTTTGTTTTACCTCTCCGCTCTTCTGTTTTATTTTCTGGGTTTTTAAGTTTAAGATAACTTAAAAGATATATAATTGAAGTAAACGCCTAAAATGAAACAGAATTGAATATAAGTTTGAGTTGATGTGAAAAATTAAGACATTTGTTGTTGCAGATTCAAAAGCACAAAGAATCAAATCTCATTATAGTCCAACGTAATCTCAATTGCATTAATTAACCACAAACCAAATCTTATTTATTTTGTATTTATGTGATGTGAGGAGGGGAATCTTTAAGGACAAATCTCCGACATGCAGATACTAATTTGTGTCGTCCTAACCACGTTCTTCTCAATAAACAACACACGCATATGATATGTCTTCCTTAGCTTGCTCTATAATTTAATATATATATATATATTAATCAACAACCTAACACAAATTAAAGAATCAAATACTACATACATTTCTCGACATTTTTGGCTAGGCTCAAATTTAGTATTTGTCTTCATCTGTCTATACTTCAATATATAATTTATTGGTTGCTTTGAAACCATTTTTGTAGGAAATGTTCTTTAAACTATTAACTTTTGTGTGTTTACTTATTTGTCTTGATTAAAATATTAGCTTATTAGTCAATTTTGTCTTATTTGACCACTATTAGTTATTTGACTTAGTTAAAAAATCAATATAAGTGTTTGGTTAATCATCTTTTTTGTAACTCCAAAATGCTAAAATTCAAAAAGCTACTCAAAACAACTTTTTCAATTAGTTTTTTGATAAAAGAAATTACACTAAACAGCTATTAGCTAACAGTTAATTTACTAAATATCTTTCTACAATCAGCTAATGTTATCAACTACCCATACCCTCTAACAGCTATCAGCTAACATCCATTTACCAAATAAGGCCAATTAAGTGTAAATGAAGAATCTACCAAAACCTTCATATACTCTCCTGAACTTGCATAACAAAGAATTCTCTACCTAAAAATTTATGTGTCCATTTATACTTGCATTACCAAGAATTCTCTACCTAAAAATTTATGTGTCCATTTATTTTTTAATATTTATTTATATTTTATATTTTAGATTATTCATTTTGAGCCATATCGCATAAAAAATGCATGTATGTATAGTATAAGGTTGGTATGGGGGGTTTTATGAAACAAAAATGCAATAATATGTGTGGAACATGGGGACTCCACTTTTTCTCACATGCCTCTGTTTAATTAATTAATCTGAGGATTGCCATAGCTAAGGATTTATGCATTTCTAACCGGTTAAATAAGCAACATTAATTTGGCTTTATATCCCTAGCTTCACCTTCTACACATTCATGGCTACTTCTAAAGAAACCACAACATTACAATTAATCCATAATACAATAATTAATTATTATATAATAACAACTTTATAACATGACAGAGTGTATGACGTGACAATAACAATATAACTCAACAACAACATAAGATAAAGTGCATGTTAACCAAGAATAACATACGTATGTTTAGAACATGGACCGCAGATTTTAAACTACTCTAATTTGGGGACATAATCTTCCTTCTTTATTAAATTATTATTATTATTATTATTATTATTATTATTATTATTTGCTTTCTTACTCATATGCGTAAATTGTTTCCCTCAATATTAATAATGGATGAGATTATTTCTCATGTTCTATATCGACTTTAATTACTATTTTAAAATACTCAACAAAAATTATTATTTACAATAAATTTAATAATACCTATTGCCTGATCACTATCATCATACACATCTCTTTGAATTGAAATTGAAATAAAAATAAAGATAAATAAACATTCAGGGTGGGCCAGATTAAAAATTATTCTTAATTAACTTTTTAGATCAACAGACATTATATATACATGTTGTTTTAAATTTGTGAATTTTTTGGTAGAAAAACAAATTATTTGGGGACCGAATTGAAAAGAATATAATATTAATAAAATTTAAAGAGCAGAGCACCGCAATTGATTCTTGTCACAAATTAAAAATTTATTTTAACAAATATTCCATTTGTTAAAGTGGGTTTATTAGCACGTCGCTTTTGTCTCTTTTACCCAATAAAACATCATGATATAATTTGTGTGCGGTCCCGATCTTTTCTCGCACTTAAAATTAAAAAAAAAATCATAACAAACTAATTTAAAACTAAATATAAGAAATTAATTAACAAAGTCCAGATGCTTGAAATTATATAGAGTTAATACTCAAAATTGTCTTCGACTATAGTGGTTTTTCTCAATTTCGTCCTAAACGACTTTGGTGACCTAATATCGTCCCAGACTTTTGTGTTATTACTCAAAATTGTCCTCCGTTATCTAATCCGTCAAATGGGTGTTAAGTACAAGGTTAAATATGTAATTTTAATTTTGGTCTTCTAGGCCTTCTTATTTCACCGCGCCAACAACAGGGTAAAAAATATTTTGATTAAGAATTTCCAACCTTGCGACTATGTCTGCTCAAGCAATAATTCCCCAGAAATTCGCCAAGTAAATTCGTCAATCTTTGTTTATCAAATTCTTCAATCTCTGTTTATCAATTTCGCCTTTCTGTGTTCATGGGTTTATCAATTTCGCCAGGTAAATTCGCCCAAAGAAAACCCTAAGGAAGCAAAGCAAATTTCTTCCCTACATTGCAATGGATTCAAGACGACGGAAAAGGGGCGAATGCACTCCGAAATATGGTAAGAATTTTGGCTTGTGTGAGCTTATATATGAATATGTATGTACTGTTAAAGCATAAATCAGTGTTCAATGAATTCATTGTGAACGTGCTAGTGCCGGGGTTTAAATATGAGCTTGTGCTAATGAGAGTTGGATGTGGAAAATGGAAATTGAATCTCACAGCAGATTACATCTAACTTGGGATTAAAGCTTTTAGTTGAGGTGAGTTAGAATCTATGAGGGTATAACTTTGCAAATTGCTTTCTGGTTGATATGGTGGATTCTTCTTAAAATGTTTTCTTTAGCTTGAAGAATGACTAGGTTTTATGCATTGTTTTTATTCCTGTTCCTTGGAATAAGAAATATATTTTTGATTATCGATTTAAGTTGTGAGAAATGTATTTCAATATCATATTTTGTACTTGCTGGTTAAAAACTAATAAGATTTTGCAATATATTTCAGCATTTTCTTTTGTGTTATTCTCATTGCTTGTTAACAAATTTTTGCATAAATGATGGATGCGGTACATGATGGAATTTATCCCTACCTCTGTTGTTCATGATTACTTCTCTTGACTTGGAAATTTAGTCTATTCTAAATCAACAGGGCATGTGTTTCAGCCTACCTACACTTGAGGACCCCTTTAATGACAGAAGTGGTAAGCCAGATCCTGTGAAGAACAAAAAGTGAGCAGATTCCAAGAAAGAAAATAGGGCTGACAAGAAAAAGCTAGCTCCAAATAAAAGGCCAACTGATGTATTTCATGGACTGGTATGATCCTCCTATATGCTCGAGGTCGAAGAAAATAATACCGGGTCTATTAAAGAATATCAATAGAAAGGAGGAAGAAATTAAGAGGCTAAATGCAAGGATTCAAGAAGCTGTCAATGACTCCTAGTGTAATGTGAAATTTGTGTTGGTAGTGGTATTAGTGTTGTGTGCTATGATATATATTCAACTTGTAATAGGGGTGGGGAGTTTTGGAGAAAAAGAGACTAGTTTTACTCAACTTAGATTGAATTAATGTAAGTTAATTTGCAGCAGGCATATTAATATATATGTGAACTTTAAGTCATTTGCAGACTGTTTACAATTTATATAATGTGATTTGCATTTGTAGTTCTAATGTGAAACAAAAAAACACACACAGATCATTACTGCAAACCACTATGGTACAATTACAGAATAAAATAACCCTGTAAATTCAGTAGTAAATTACACAGTAAATTTACTGCAAAACAGCCTGTGTAATCCATAGAACAGAACAACCTTATATGGAACAAGCTAAAGTAGAGAGATTGCAGCAGTACATTCAAAGATTGGAACAAACAACAGTAAATTCAAACACAATAAAGTGTAGTAAATTCAGTCTGTGGAGAAATTCATTACTAGAACCTGATATGCAAAACACAAATATTCATTACTGTTATAGCATTGAGATGACTAATCTCATTGTTTATCAAAACAATATAAGGGTCTCTTATACAAAATACAACTACTTAACTACGTAATCAATTTCTAATGGTTCATCCTGATTTCCATAACTGCAATCACTTCTGCTTCTATCACTGGTTCATTGGCTGGCTTCTATCACTGGCTCATTGGCAGCTTCTACCACTGGTTCAAACACAACTGCTCTCACTGGTTCATTCACTTCTTCTCTAACTGCTTCTACCACTAGTTCATTGGTTGCTTCTCTCACTGGTTGAGGAATTTTCTTTGTTCTAATCCTCTTCTTTGGATTGAGCTACAAACAGTAATAAACAATAAAGAATGCAGTTTGATTTTACCAACAGTAATAAACAATAAAGAATTAAATACAGTTAGGAATTTATTGAGAACTTACCAATCTTTCTTTGATGGCAGGATCTGTTGGACACCTCCTTGCATTATGGCCTGGCTGCTTACATTTGGTACAATGCAGTTTTATTTTACTCCTTTGCACTGTTGTCAAATTTCTTGGTGTTTTGCTTACTTCTCCTGCACTTTTTTTCCTTAACTTTCTTGGTCTACCTGCCTTACATGATGTGTACAATGGGGGTAGTAGTGGTTCTCTATCTGTAATTGGCCACTCATCTGGCCCAGCCATAGGGTTAATAGAACCTGCATAAGCTTTCAAATAACATTCTGTAGAATACATTGGGCTAACAAAGTTGATGACTTGTAATTTCTTCAACCAAATTGCCCTAATTGCATGCTTGCAAGGAATTCCTGTTAGTTCCCATCTTCTGCAACTACATGACCTTTTTCTCAAATCAACTTGTTGACCATCCTCCCACATCCCTCTAACTTCAAACAAATCCTCATCACATTGAGTACATAAATAACTTGCAGCTGCCTCTTCATTAACTGCAATTTTCTCCATAATTCTAGGACATATTGTAGACTTCCATTCATTAGCAGCTTTCTTTCTATTGTTGAAGAACCTAGGCATTAAGTGATTTCTCAAAGCCTCAAGGCATGGTATAAGTGGCAGCTTCCTTGCATTCAAAATCATTGCATTAAAGCACTCACATATATTGTTAACCAAAACATCACATTGTGCAGAAGTAGTAAAATGAGACCTTGACCATTCACTTGGATGCTTGTCAGATAACCATTGAAATGCATCTACATCTAATTGATGAATATTCCTCATTGCTCTAGTGAAGCTGTTCACAGTTGTTGCTCTAGCTGCTGTCCAGAGAGCATCTTTAATTGCTTTGCCATGGAACCCTGCTACCCTGAGATTACCATATAAGTGCCTCACACAAAATCTGTGAATAGCTTCTGGAAACACTTCTTCAAATGCAGGGATTAACCCTTTTTGTTTGTCTGAAATTAAAGTCAAGTTACTGTGATTCACCAAGTCCAAGTCTTTCTTAAGTAGTTTCAAAAACCAAGTCCAAGATTCTTTGTTTTCCCCTTCAACAATTGCATAAGCCAAAGGAAAAATGCTGTCATTTGGATCTATCCCAACAGCTGTCAGTATTTGGCCCCCAGTTTTTGCCTTTAAGTGACACCCATCAAATCCTATAATAGGCCTACAATATTTATGACCTTCCATACATGCCTCCCAACACATGTAAAACCTCAAAAATCTTTTTTTGCCTCCAGGTTCCTCGTATTCACTTGGTTTTACAATGCAATTTGACATAGGGTTAGTTTTTTGAATTTCATGATAGTAGCTCCACAACTTTTTAAATTGTTCCTCTTGTTCACCCTTTATGTCACCCCTTGCTAGTGTCATTGCTTTATAACATTGTCTAATTGTTAGACTGAATTTGTCATCAGCTTTAACCTTATTTTGAAACTCCACAATGTTCCAATCACTATTGTGCCTAATTTCATTTTTCCATCTTTTAGCAGCCTTGGTTGCAGTGATCATATTGTTCTCGTATACCCACCCACAACCTTCATGCTTCTCATTATAACTTAAAACTCTCCATGTGAATGTGTTCTTTAACTTTCTGCAGTTGATTCTCCAAGGGCAGCCTTCTTGTTTGCAGCTCACTGTCACTCTCAATTTGTCAATCTTTTCAAATTTCAGATGTTTCCCATTCTTAATCCCATAATTCTGTATAGCTTCTTTAAATTCTTCTCTACTAGCAAAGGTTAATCCTATGCAAAAGATGGGGTTTTCCATGTCAGTTTTTGCTCTAAAAATAGGCCACTTGTGTTCATCATTATCACCATCACTGACTACATTTTCATCAGATAAATCTAATCCATCAGCAACTACTATAGCACCCTCTACTCCATCATTAACTTCATTAGCACCCTCTACTCCATGTTCAGCCACTGGACTTGTTTGTACACCACCATATTCCACTGTTACATCAACATATTTATCAAACTCTCTATCATCTTTCTTCCCTTCAACGAAATCATAATCAGAGTCATAAAATTCTTCTAGCACTTCATCCTCATAATCCTCATCACTTCCATCAGTGTTAGACTCCACATCATGTTCTTCAATATCACTTCCTATGTTAGATGCTTCTGTGAACTCTGACTTTACTACACATATCTCCAACTCTTTAGGCTTACCAACACAAAGAGAGTTAACTAAAGGCCATATTTCACTATCTGAATGTAACTCAAACAAACCACCAATACCATTGCTAAGCAATTTTGTTTGTAGAGGATCATACCCTAACTCCTCTACTTTTTCTCTTAGAGTAATCATCCCCCACTCATCAACCGACATATAGTCCCAATAGTCTGTCCACCCACCTATATATTGTGATTTTGGTCCATGATTAATCCTTCCACCATGTCTCAACATAAGTGTAAAATATTCATTTTTTCACCTGTTTCAAGACACAGTACATTTAATACAATACAAATATAGATACAATACATAAATATGGAGACATGTGGTCCCCAACATTACAACATATATATGCTTTACACTGCTCATTCACACAAATTTGACAGTATATCCCAATAGATGTGGTCCCTACACTGCAATTGAATGAATATAAACACGCATGTATTATTGTCATTTGTAATCCTGTAAATTTGGCATCATTCTCACTGTCAATGCATAACTATGAAAATTTTAAAGTGCACGACTGTTACTCTAAACATAATTACATACATGTGCTTTAATTTATGCTTCACTTTCCACAATAAATTCATTGAATAATAATTTCTGCTTTGGCAGTACATACATATTCATATATAAGCTCACAGAAACCAAAATTCTTACCATATTTCGGAGTGCATTCCCCCATTTTCCGTCGTCTTGAATCCATTGCAATGTAGGGAAGAAATTTGCTTTGCTTCTTTAGGGTTTTCTTTGGGCGAATTTACCTGGCGAAATTGATAAACCCATGAACACAGAAAGGCGAAATTGATAAACAGAGATTAACGAATTTGATAAACACAGATTGACGAATTTACTTGGCGAATTTCATGAGGGAATTATTACTTGAGCAGACCGTAGTCGCAAGGTTGGAAATTCTCGGTCAATTTTTTGTTAACATGTTGTCGCGGTGAAATAAGAAGACCTAGAAGACCAAAATTAAAATTACATATTTAACCCTATACTTAACACCCATTTGACGGATTAGATAACGGAGGACAATTTTGAGTAATAACACAAAAGTCTGGGACGATATTAGGTCACCAAAGTCGTTTAGGACGAAATTGAGAAAAACCACTATAGTCGAGGACGATTTTGGGTATTAACTCAAATTATATATAATGAAATTAATTATTTAATTCTAATTACTAATTATTTCTTAACTCTAATTTCAACCAATTAAATCATCATTTCTGATTTCATGCATTTTGGGCCTCCAGAGTCCAGTTCACAACACAACACATCACATCAACTAATTAATTAGCGTTTAATTTATCCGACAAGATTTAATTTGTCTTGTTTGTTAGCCAACAAACTTTCCTTGTTAATTAAATTGTTGTACGAAGAAATAGATTAAGGTCACAACACATCAAAGCTGGAGCTGGACCGGCCCCCCATCATATCGCGCCCATTTGCAGCCTTAAATATATATGTGGATGGAGAAAAACAGTTTAATTTAGTTTATTTAGAAACAAAATAATACTCCCATCCGTAATATGGCCTGCAGTTGGAAACATTGCTTTTCATCACTTTTGGAACCTTAAAATCCTGTCTCTTAGCTTGAGATGATTACACGATTTGTGATTTATTTTGTAATAACTTTAAGGGCTCGTTTGGTTCGCGGAAAGTATTTTAAGAAAAGTGGAATTGAAATTTCATGAAAAAATAATTATTAGGAAAATGAATTTCATTGTTTGGTTGGTGGAAAAAAGAATTACTGGGAATACTAATTCTATTGTTTGGTTAGATTTGGAATTATAAGGAATAACGAGTATAAAGACTTATATACCCTTACAAATTAATAAGAGTAATATAATTAAGGGTTGCAAACAAGGGTAAAATAGGTAAACCATATCACTTTTTCTCCCCCATCTTCCATGAAAAACAAAATCATATCCAACCAAGAATTTTGTTTTCCTCAAATTTGAGGAATTCATTTTCCAATGGAAAATGATTTCCATGAACCAAACACCAAAAAATAACATTTTCTTTCACTTTAAGAAAAATATTTTCCATGAATTAAACATCTCCTAAGGGTGGAGTTTCTGTGGGCTTATATTAAAATTAGTGTGATGAAACTGAGATCACCTCTAAGTACAAAAAAGAATAATCTAGGAATTAAATTAATTATGGGTAATATTTGTACGAAACCGTCTCACCGGTCTCAATCCGTGAGACTGGTCAAATCTTTGATTAATGATTGGATCTCTAACATCATTAATCAAAGATCTGATCCGTCTTACATATTGAGACTCATGAGATGAACTCACACCAATATTTTTCATTAATTATATAATAAAAAATCAATAATCAAAGAAAATGAAAATGCCTCATCAGCTCCCTCCAAAGACCAAAATACCCACAGGGGCCCCTTCCCCTAGTCTTTATATACGAAGCTTCCTCCCTCTTTCTTCTCCCACACTCACACCCACAAATTAAGCAAAAAACCATTGTTGAAGCTAAAAACCTTAAACTCCTCGCTTTCTCTCCCATATCTCCAACTTCTTATATATTATACCGCTCCACCATGGGCAAGGGAGAGATGAAGCTTACAAAGCTCAAGTCCGTGCTAAAGAAAATGAAGTCATTCAAACTCGGCCGCTCCAATGCAGCCTGCTCCGCCGCCGGCAACTCTTCTTCTTTTTCTTCTTCCGACGACGAGTCTAGTAATTACTACGCTTACAATTCCTCCGACGACAAGAACAACCTCCACCCGGTCTACGTGGGCAAGTCCCGCCGCCGCTACCTCGTCGGCCCCGACGTCGTCGACCACCCCGTTTTCCAGGAACTCGTCGAACGGTCGACGTCCGGCAACTCCGAGGATTCCATCATCACCGTCGGATGCGAAGTAGTGTTGTTCGATCACTTTCTGTGGATGCTCGAGAACGGCGATCCCCAGCCGCCGGAGTGCCTTGATGAGCTTGCCGGTTTTTACACCTAATTAAATTCTTTTATAGCGCCAAGTAACGGAAATTAACCGTTCTTGTCGGATGCCACAGAGATGACAGTTATATATACACAATACATTCATCCTTTTGTTGTTATTATTATTTTTTACCCAGAAAAAAGTTCAATAATTTTTAATTTTTTTAAAAAATTCTTTTATAAAGAAACTTAATTGCTATCTGTATCATTTATGTAGTTTATGCGAAGTTCCAAAAAATGCAAATTATGTTGTACATGATACATTAATTAAAGTTTTAATATACATACATTTCTCATTAGTTTAATTTGATTATACATGATCGATGTAAATTTAGTTCTTTAATTAATTGTTATTGTTATTAAAGTGATGTAAATATAGTCTTTGATGAATTAAATTCATAATCGTAACAAATAAAATATTAAATATATATTTCAAACAATTAAGAAATTAAATCTATATCAAAGTAATAATCAAGCTTAGGAATTAAATGTATGATTTTCCAATTAAACTCCCTTCTTGAGATTGAGAATTGTAATATGAGTATTCTATTCTTCTTCTAAATACTGTCTACTGAGTCGGTACGGGCAAATATCGAATATTCTAGACAACATATATGACAGGATCAATTGAAGGAGATATTTGTCTGATTATTGTCAGGCATCTGGCTAAAGAACATATATATAGGATTGGATTATGTAATGATGTTTCCTTGACTTAACAGCCTGTCTTCAACCTAATTGTGGTGATGATCATTTTGTGGTCACAACCAATGTCACGTAGTGCTAGGCTGCTAGCTAAACGATTGATCGAGCCTCGTATGAGCAGAACGTGACAAGGAAAGAATTATGGGTTTAGCACTAACAAGATATAGTTTAATACTATTATTGTTAATAATAATAGTATATATATATGGGTAACGAAAGAGATCCGATTGATCTACAGGTTTCTCATTCTCATTAGCCATGTTTTGTCTCAGAACCTTGTATTAGTGTCTACTGTATCCCATCAATCCAAGGGACCACAAGCCTCCCAGCCTAGTCCATGATTCATCAAATATGTATGTTTAATTTATAAAAGAGTTAATCTCACCATATTTGTTGTCTTTGGTGCTGCGACGGTCAACAAATGGTCAAATAGATGGAGGACCAAATTGTGTCAAAATTGCAAAGTCAGGACCAATTTGTGAATTTAGCTATAGTTGAGGGACCATTTTAGGTATTTAGCTTTGGATTCAATGTAGTTGAGTTCCTACCAGAGCCGGATTTGGTATATTGCTTTCAAAACCCGACGATGGACCATGAAATTACATATATATCCTCAAAAATCACAATCAACAAACGGTCAAAGACCAAATTGTGTTAAAATTGCAAAGTTAAAGACTTAATTGGTTGAAATTAAAAGTCAAGGACCAATTTGTGAATTTAGCTATAGTCGAGGGACCATTTTGGGTATTTACTCTTTTCAGAATGCATGCAATGCACGTGGATTAAGTATGCAAGATCCTCAAAAAAAAAAAAAAAAAGTATGCAAGATGAGTGGCAGCAATGATTTTTATTGAATATATGTAGGCAAAACATGCAGCAGTATAATAGATTTTATCTCTACTTCTCATCAATCAATATAATCTACGCAACAATTATGCGCTACCTACGCGGCATTCGCCGCCGTAGACACCGAAAGTTTAGCAGCAGCAGCGCCGGCGCCGCCCCCACGGCGTTGATCTCTCTCATGAATCTCCATGCATTTCAGCAAATATTTAAAGGTCTCGATTTCGCACGGGATTATGAGCCCCCCGCGGTGCTCAAACCCGAACTCCTCTTCCACTTTTTCCAGCAACACCTTGAACAGCGGATCGCTTAGATAGGTGGTCGGAATTATGAACCGCCGCAGCACCTCCCCCCGCCCCACGTATACCCCCATGTACCCCTTCGGCACGTCCGCCGGCGCCTGCCTCACGCAATCGGCGCTCTTTACCGCCGGCGAAACGCTAGCCGTCGTCTCCACCGTCGTCGTAGTCCTCCTAACGGAATTGTTACGCGCGATGCGTTTCCACTTTCGCACGAATCCCATCAGCCTTACGATGCGGCGGATCCCGCACACCTTCCTCTTTTCCCCGACTAATAATTCTGCCATTCTGATACCGGCGCGGCGGATAGACGGCGGCGAAGGAGAAATCTGGCGGCGGCGGAGGCGGATAGACGGCGGCGAGGGATAGATCAGGCGGCGGCGGATAGATAGACGGCTGAAATTAAGAATAGAAACATACACTAGGATAGCTGCATGGCGCTTCTTTATGAATGTAGATTGATATGATGATGTTAAGAAATAATCAGGATAAAAATACTGCTGCATGCTTTTTCATAATGAATTTGCATGTATATATAGGGGAGGGTAAATAATTATCTGTAAATAATTACATAATTATCTTTAATCATTTTTCTTGGCCACTAATTAATCTTCCCTCTGCATAGAAATTTTCTCCCTACCCCTCACCCCACCTACCTTTAAGCTCCTTCCCTGGCTTATATTATCTCCTCTATCTACAATTAAGGTAAAATATCATTTTTCCTTTTTTTTTTTTTTAATTGAAAGGACTTTCAATGGAAGCAGTTCAATAAAAAAAAAGTGGTAACAAAAGAAATTTATTAGAAAATAGTAATTTACTTTTTAACTTTTAAATTTTAGGATTGTGAGATAGAATTAATAACAAATAATTAAATTTGAACGGGTACTAGAGTCAAAATGATAATAGATCGGTTGATGCCCTTGCAATTCGGGCAAGGTGTATTCCTAAAGGCTTGTATGTTCTAGAAAATTCCCCAGATCATATTCAGGGTCTATTAGATGATGATTTTAATGTCATCCCAACTTGACGTTCTTGTGTAATCTGATCTTGTACTCTTATTTTTGGGACTCCCCCCTCCTACTTATATAAAAAAAAATGATAAAATGCAATTAAGTAATAATTAGTTGATGGCTAAATTTAAAAATATCACCATAATTTACTAAATTTTAAAATGTGATAGAATCAACATAATTCACCTTAATGTGACTGAATAAAAAGCCATATTGTATATTTCGTCGTCGTTGTTGGGCAGGCCGACAAGCAGACCAGCTTATTGGGCTTGGTTGGTTACTAGTATTTTTTTTTTTTTTTGGGCTTCAATTCCACACACTACATTATTTCATTTTTAATATATTATAGGTAAATTTTTAGTGTAGTAAAAATTTATTTCTAAGTAATTAATATAGGAGAAGTGTCAAATAGACCCATTTACTACTGTCAAGTGCTCAATTCTCACCACGAACTAATTAAAAGTTAATTAATCACACTTACCTACTAAATTTGTTCAATTGACTTTTTTTTACAGGTTGCTAACACGTTACCAATTCAAATATTAAAAAAATAATTAAATTTTTTTTTTAAAAAAAACGGAATTTCAGCCGCCACCGGCTGTCCTCGCTGGACAGCTGGTTGTGGCTGAGTATTTTAACAAACAATCGTGGCTGTCCAGGGAAGACAGCCGGACAGCCACAGCTATCATGTTTGAGGTCCATATCTGGACCTCAAACATGACAGTCGTGGCTGTCCGGCTGTCCTCTCTTGGCTATCTGTTAAAATACTCAGCCACCACCGGCTGTCCTCGCCTGACAGCTGATGGCGGCTGAAATTCCGTTTTTTTTTTCTTTTCTTTTTTTTTTTCTTTTTTAATTTTTAAATTATTTTTAAATTATTTTTTTAATAATTGGATTAGTAACCTGTTAGCAACCTGCAAAAAAAAAAAGTTAATTGAATAAATTTAGCAGGTAAGTGTGATTAATTAGCCTTTATTTTAGTTCGTGGTGGAAATTGAGCACTTGACAATAGTAGATGGGCCTCTTTGACACTTCTCCCTTAATATATTAAAAACAAACATGTATCATAATATAATAAACATACTAAAAAAGAACCTATAATAGTACAGTAAAAATGAAATTATAATATAGTAAGAAAATAAAAATAAGCTTGTACGTATATCGATCACTTGTCTACCTTTTCAACGTGGACCATGATCCATAATACAACAATTGATAAACTAGCAATCGTTATACCTTCCACCACGGCGTGCGCAGTACTGTGCGCCCCGCGCCTTCCAAAACGACGTCGTTTTCGGAGGCACGGTAGAGAGTTGACGTGATTATGTGTATTTGTTTATATCATTATGTTATTTTTTTATACAGTTATGTGTGTTTATTTATACAAGGAATAAGGTTCAGATTGGCCACTGAACTTAACCTAAAAATGTAATTAGGCCACTGAACACTCCAAATATATGCAATTTCACCTGATAGCAGGTTACCATCAATTTTAGCAGGTTACCTGCTTACGTGGCAGCTGAGTTGGCATTTTTAATAATTTTAATAATAAATTTTTTAAAAAAAATTTAAAAATAAAATAAAATAAAATGACGGAGGCCAGCCCGTCGTTTATTTTTATTTTTTTTTAAATTTTTTATTTAATTTTTTAAAAATTAATTATTAAAATTTATTATTAAAATTATTTAAAAATGTCAACTCAGCAACCACGTAAGCAGGTAACCTGCTAAAATTGATGGAAACCTGCTATCTGGTGAAATTGCATACATTTGGAGTGTTTAGTGGCTTAATTGCACTTTTTTTTTTTTTTTCGTTTAGTGGCCTAATTGCATTTTCAGGTTACGTTCAGTGGCCAATTTGAACTTTATTCCTTTATACAATTATGTGTATTTGGTTATACAATTATGTATATTTTTTTATACAGTTATGTAAAACAACGTCGTTTTACATCAGGGCGCACAATGCAATGCGCGGCCTGGTGCACGATATAAATTGCCATAAACTAGGATATGGGCTTCATTTTACATATAACATTTAGGTAAAGAAAAATTATTGACCTAGCTTGAAATTAAATCATACTATAATATGCATTCAAAAAAAAAAAAAATCATACTATAATATTTAAAGAAGACTTATAATAGAATTTATAGATTGCCCAACAACAAAAAAAAAATTGATCGGCAAAAAGTCAAATTAAACAAAGGATATATTTATATCATCTCAACCAATCTTTAATTTGGTGTAAAATATAAGTACGTATATGACATATGAAATATCCAAAAGAGTAGCTAG